TTATAGGGTTTTGGGTCGCATAGTTAACAATGTGTGTTGGGATCGTATCGTGTGCCTCGCTTAAACTAAATAACTAGGAGTATAATTGACTTATTAATAAAAGTATAATGGTGAACTTCATATATGATTTGTATGAGTATTTTATATATCACACTACATTGAGTAATTATGATAGTAGAAATTTATTTTAATAAAATATTATATCTTATAAATTTTGAATAAAATAAATATAGCTAATTTTCACACAGATATATATTAATAATTTCATAGAAGAATATCTAATTACTTATATATGTAATTATTAATAGCTTAGCAGGTAATGAAGCAATAATAAATAAATGTAACTAGACATATAACACTATAAAGTAATAAATATAATTATATACCACAACATACATACATTATAATAATACTAATAAACATGCAACTAATATCTAGCATAATTCTAATTACTATTAATATATATTAAGTGTATAAAAATACATATAATATGTACATTAACGCTGCTATCATATAAACTATATACATAATATAACCTGAGGTAATATCTTCTATGAACCTTATGATGCAATTACTAATATATCAAGACAACCACTTAAACAGACAACACTTATACATTGTAGACATAACATTGTTTGATCATATATCACTACATTACAGTCATTAGTCCTATATGACTTCCTATAATATCAGTGTATATATACGACTAATAAGATATGAGTTATTATATATTTCACTACTAGAACCTGATACTGCTTACCTATTACTTACCTCAGTGAGTCTATTGAATTGCATATCATATACCCATTACATAACATTAATAAGAAGTGTATGTCTGTTAAACAAATAATTTTTAATTATAATATAATATAAATATATTAAATCATTAATTATATAAACTAATATATATAATATATATATACTTATATATATATATGATAATTGATATATATATTACTGTATATTAACAATTTATATATTAATTATTTAATAATATATATTATAATATATGTTATATATATATATATATTATATATATATATATATATATGATTATGTGATGGTTGTGTATTGATGTTATATTATATGAGTATATATATTATATATGTATTATACATATATGTAATAATGTATATATTATAAAAGATTATTTATACTAATATTATACCTATTAATTAAAGTGTAAATCTTTAAATATATATAAAATATAGTATATATTATATATTAATAATGACTGTAATAGAGATATATGTAAATACATGTGATACACATATATGTTATACTATATATATTAATAATTTGTATACTCATATATAATATAAAGGATTATAAGAGCACGGTGGTACATATGAACTACATAATTGTGATAGAATATGTTTATCATTGCTTATTATATAGTGATTGATATATATTGTCGATAAAAGGAACATAGTAATGATATTAATACCTTGTACCTAATTCTCAATTAGATACTGGTTAAATGAATAAAATAGTCAGTAATGTAGTAACATATATAATTATATATCATATAAAGACATAAGTATTATATTACTATAAATTTCCCTGTATTTAATACTTATATTATTTAGTATAATGTTATTCATATGATAACTTGTGATACATATATATGTATATATTATACATATTAACATTAGTTAATATATTATTATATTACTATATATATATTATATAAAATATAGTACAATTACAGATTTAATAATTAATATATATGTATATTATTATATTGAATATATATATGATACTAATATATATATATATATATATATATAATATATATATATAATAATATATTAATATTATAATAGTATATATATTATATGTATACATATATACAATAATAATGTTATAATATCAATAATATATGCATAATATACATATAATATGTTAAATTAATTATTATATGTAATATATATATATATAATAATATATATATATATATATATATATATATACTAACATATCTATATATATTATTATATAATAATATATACTATGTAATATATTAATTATATATATAATGTACATATATTGTATGTACTTTTCACATAATATCTTATGTATACTTAATATGCATATAACATTAGTATAAATATATATATCAATGATATATAGTATTATTACATTGCATAATTATATAATTAATATATACTACATAAACATATTATATATATCATGTATATTTATATAACAATAAAATATATATATTAACACTAGTATATAATATTAATATATATAATACATTAACTATGCAATTTATAATAATAATATATAATATTATTATTATATATAATATATAGTATATATATATATATTAATTAATATATATATTTATATATAATATTAGGTGTGTGTTAGTGAGTATGTATATATGGATATATGTATATTAATATATACATATTAATAAAATATATACTCTATATAAATGTAATATAACTAATAAGTTAAGTTTATATTATCAATAAATTCATAAATCTTTATCATTGATATGAGCATCTATGTTAATGACAGTGTGATAAATATATTATATAGAGTTTTATTGAATCATGTATGGCTTAAATATTTCATAAGAACATAGCAACTAATTGACTATGTTATAGTATACCACTTCAATTCAAGTCACGACATTGGACTCATTAGGGTGCTACAGATATAACACAATGATAGACATACTATAATCATATAAATTTAAATTATCCACCTCTTAGTAGTTAACAATTGACACTACAATGCCTTGGATGGCATACACTTATTCTCAACATACACTTAGAGAGGAAGTCCATTCTATAATAAGTGCCATACCTTATAGCACAGCTATTTCAACTGACCTATAGAGAGGTCATGGTAAATATAAATCAGTGATCCAAGAATGGTTCTCCTAGGACTAAATATTAACTTGCTAAAAGCTTGAAATATTCATTGTAGTTTTGTTTTGTAAATTGTCGGAATCTGCTCGTGAGCTGGCCGCAGCCCCGCGACGTATTCAGAGCGCAGGCTCCAATCCAACGTCACTCTGGCGAGACGCCTGGCGATGTTTATTTTGCCGGGTGTCTCATATATGGGACACCCGTAGTAAATGGGTTAAGACTAACATTGATTATCATGTTATTAACAAAGCTAATAACAATAGAAAGTAAAATTATAATAGTGATGATAATGAAAATCAGTGAAAATAGTAAACAGGTGAGATAGAACTAGTAATTGATTCCTTGCGGACTAAAAACATGTAAAGCCATTTATGTGTGAACAGAATTAATAAACTAAAATTGGCACTAAGAAGTTAAAGAACCTGGTAGTGGCCCTTAAGACATTTGTTACCAGGTGGAGCTACTACTCACAGAGCATTTTATGTACAAGCAACCTTCAGTTAGTAGCATGAATCCTGAAAATACTGGGGAAGGATGTAGTTTGAACAGCCATTGCAGGATGGAGCCATGCTGAATCCTATAATACAGAAATAAATTCTGCCAAGCAACTTTATTGTCTGTGACATTTAGGGAGTATATAGAAAACCAAGTAAATTCTGGTACTAACCTATTGGTGTTAAACAACACAAGGGTTTTTTAAATCACTTGCACCCTCACCCACTCTTACAACATTGAGCATATGTGGAAACATGCCATATTCTGAGTACAAAGGACTTGTACTAAGGTCTGGCTTTGAAAAGGAGTATTACTACCAATATTTTTGTTGATATCTCAATCAAATTGGTTGCATATCATGGAAGTCTTCTTGTCTGAGCAGAATGCAGTGTTTCTTAACTGATGGCCCATGACCTTCAAAGGAGTTTGTAGAGAAATACAGGGAGGTCACAAAGCTATGTGGAAGAATAATGTAGGTCTGCTTGCAAGGTATATATCACTGTTGATATTGAGAAATGCTATGAAGTTAGGCATTATGTTTGACTAATTGGTAAATAAAGGTTCGCAGGCTACTTAATATTTCTCTCCCTCTCAGCTCTCTTCTCTCTCTCTCTCTCATTGTTGTATGGTAAGACTGTAGGTGCATACTATTTTCCCAGACTCTATCTTGCCAGTTCATTCAGTTCCTAAAAGTCATGAAATCATTTAATGACCTTGACAACATACGATGACTAAGGTTGTAAGTATGAAATATTTGCTTGGGCTTTCATGTCAGCACAGACAAGGAGGATATTTCCCAGACCTAGCAGGGTTACCAGTTATGGTAGGGGTTGCCACCCCTACCATAACTGTGATAGGGTGTTGTGCCCAATAATCATCCCTAAATCTTGAAATATGTGTAATTAGTGTAAAATATTATGGTTGTTAGCATGGTACCAGAGAGTCCATGTAAACTTGAAAGTGAATCAAGCACCTCAGTGAGATAACATATGTAATCCATATTTTTGGCATCATACTTATTAATTAGTGTTTCTCATGTTTAAATGTAGTCAGTCATCATTTTGAGATAATTCTTTTCTGTATAGGAGTTAAGGAAAAAAAGATAATCAGAATTTGATGGCGACAACTTAACTAATATTTGAATTTTGCTAAAGGGGCTGGTAGTCATTAAAAAAACTGACAATTTTGATTTTGAATTCTAGGAGTAAATATGAAAAGAAAGTTGAATAACTAGTATTAGAAAAGTCCCTGTAGCAAATGGCAACAGGAATGGAGATTTTATATGAGGTACAAGCTGACGAACTTGAATTTTGCTTCATTATTACTAGAACTAATACCAAATTCTGTTTTGATTACCTTTCCCAGAAATTATTAGTTTCAAAGTGTCTTTAAAGAAGGTCCCCCTCTAACCACCAAATAACATCTCATTTAAGGCAAAGAAGGAAATGGAGACCTTGGAGGAATTCCTGGACAGTCAGCTGAAGGAGATGGAACACACAGCTACTCATAACAAGGAATCGGAGGAGGCAGGCACACAGGACAAGCTTGAATGGGAGTACCAGGACCCCACAGAAGGGATGTCCCAGACCCCAGAGAACCTGCAGTCTGTAGAAGGTACAA